CTCTAAGTTTTAAGAGTTCAGAAAAGAGATAATAGCTTGTATTTAGTGGGCTCATTTTACGCCTCTTGTATCTTTGATTTGGCTCTTTGAGCATCTTGATTTTTAATACACATTTGTGTATATATATATATATATATATATTTTTTTTTTTTCTTTTTTTATTTTCTCTCTTACACCATCAAATTCTGGCCCACTTCACGTCTATCGTTTCCCCAACGCCATCATTTCAATTCCCAACAAAATATTCCATCACTAAAAAATAAATCCAATAACTAACCGCCCAAATTCAATGGAAATCCGCCAAAAATAGACATCGAACCATACTCTTTCTCCCCAACTCGCCATCCAATCCACTCCCCCCCAGCTCGCCGTCTCTCCACCAAGCTCAAAACCAGAAGCAAAAAGAAAAAGAAAACCAGCAAATCAAACCAATAGAGAAATCAAAGAAAACAATTTCGATGACTAACCTCCCGCTCAGCTTCGTACTTCTCCTCCTGCTCCGTTTCTGCACACCGGCAATATCAATCACCTTCCCCGGCGACGCCGCAGCTCTCGCCGCTTTCAAAGCTGCCGTGGTCCCTTCCTCGATTCTGCCTTTCTCTTGCCTATCCTCCTGGAACTTCTCAGCTTCGTCCGACCCATGCAGAACCTTTCTATGCGGCGTCTCCTGCTCAGCCGACGGCCGAATCACGGCCATTGTCCTGGACTCCGCAGGGTACTCCGGTTATCTTCCCGCCGTCATCTCCAACCTCTCCCAACTCCAAACCCTGGATCTGTCCAACAATTTTTTCCACAGCTCAATCCCTTCCTCTCTCTCCTCCCTCTCCAAACTACAATCCCTCGTCCTCGCCTCTAACTACTTCACCGGTACAATCCCCTTCTCACTTTTAACAAATCTTTCATCGCTCCAAACCCTAGAGCTCTCCCGTAACTCCTTCTCTGGCTCCATCCCCGCCCCCCTTTCCTCCCTCACCGCCCTCGCTATCCTCGACTTCAGCTACAATAGATTTACTGGTCCGATCCCTTCTTCCCTCCCACCAAATCTGGTAACTCTAGCTCTGAGATGGAATTCGTTGACAGGATTTCTCATCCGATCTGCGTTCACGCCGCTGCGGAGACTGGAAGTTGCCGATCTCGCAGGAAATCGACTCAACGGGAACGTAGAGGGGTGGCTACTGAAGCTCCCTAAGATACAGCAATTGAATCTGGCGAATAATAGCTTAGAGAAATGGGTGGTGTGGCCGGACACCGCCGGCGACGGTGGAGGACAGGAGCTCGTCGCGGTGGATCTAGGGTTTAACCAGATCGAAGGACGACTGCCTCCGGAGCTGGCGGACTATCCGTCGTTAGTGGCTATCACGGTCAGTTATAACAAGCTGAGAGGCGAAATACCTTGGCAATACCACGGGGAGAAGAACGGGGCGGCGTTCAGGCGGCTATTTCTCGCCGGGAATTATCTCCAAGGTAGAGTTCCGGCAGTGTTTTTAGGGGGAGAAATGGCGGGAAGCTTTGGGGATAATTGCTTGGAGGGATGCCCGGTGGCCTCGGAGATGTGCTCTCCGAGGCAGAAACCTGGGTGGATTTGTAAGATGGCGTATTCGGGTGCCGTCGGCCAGCCGCGAGGGAATACGATGGGGGTATAAGCTCGCCGACGGTGAGAGGTTTAGGGTTTTCGAGCCGGAGGCCTGCTGTCGGTAGACGACAAGTGGATGACGTTTCCGGGATGGAAAATTGTAGAAATATGTCAGGCTTGTTATTATTATTATTATTATTATTATTATTATTTTTAATGGTTTTTATGTTCAAAATAATGTGATATTGTTACAAACCATCATATTGAAATAAAAGTTTTATATGTAGCATTGTTAATTAAGCATTTATACTAATTTATGTAATATGTGTGAATTTATTTTAATTGAGCTAAATATTTTAAAAATTTAATTAGAGTTTATTTGGGAAGTTTAAATTCTATTTTTAATTTTAAAAATTTATTTATCAGCTATAATTTTAAAAAATAATAATATTGGCATCTTCATCCAATCCCTTCACATCCCCACACAGCCCTCTACATAAAAACAAAGCATATTCAAACCTGCAATCACAGAAAGATAGCAGCAACAAAAATCAGCATGTCCATCTTTCTCTCGATTAATCCATCACTCACCAAGATTTTTTTTTGTTTTTTAATTCTGCCGACATGTTGGAGCTATTGTGTGATAGAAAAGTACCCTCAAATTTGGAGAGATTATTTTATGCGGACGTCGAATTCAGTTCATATTTAGGAGACTAATCAAAATTCATCATATCGGCAGTACCGAGCCGCGGTACAAAGCTGTAGTACCGAGCAGGGGCGAACAGGATACCGAGCAGGGGCGACGTGACGCATTCTGGTTGGTCTCCGAACGGCGTTCGGCATCCACACTGAATAATTTGCATCAAATTTTAGAGAAATTTTTATAAAATGATGGTGAGACCTGTAATGCTTTATGACGCAGAATATTAGTCATTAAAAGAGGAGCATACAATTAAGTTAAGTGTTGTGGAGATGAAGATGTTTGGGTGAATGAATGTCTTTACTCTTAGAGATAGAATGTGAAACGAGCATAAACATGAAAAAATTGGACTAACTGTAGTGGCACATAAGATTAGAGAGAGTCGACTTAGATGATTTGGTCACATAAAATGGTGGCCTTCTGATGACGTGGTTAGGAGGGTAGATGCATTAGATTTAACCTATATTAAAAGGTAGAGTAAACCTAAAAAGATTTTATTCTAAAATATTAAAAATAATTTTTTTTTTTATGAGATTTAAATAACAATTTGACTGTTAACAGAACACAATAAAGCTCTTTTCCGTCTAGAGACTAGAAATACTAGTAATGTCAGTCATGAAATTTTGGCAGTTCAATAGAAAGTACCAAAGAAACACACAAAGTTCATACAAAAACTAACCCAACACTTAGAAAATTTTCCCGATCCTCATCACAAGGCACCCCTAACCCCGTATTCAACATGCTCAATACACAATTTTAGGTCCTCCAGATAAGAAATTATTCTGTGCAGAGATCGGATGCAGAATGTTATTCGGAGACCAATCAGAATGCACTACGTCTGCAATACCGAGCCACAATATTGAGCAAGAGGTGGCATGACGCAATCTAATTGGTCTCCGAACTGCATTCAACATTCGCACAGAATAATTAATCCTTTCAGAGTGAAACTTTCTAAATCCATTGCCATATTCTGCTCAATCCAGAGAAACATATGCGTACAAAACCATTTCGTATCAATCTTGAAAGCTTTGCCTGAAACGATGAACAGAAGTTCTTATCACAACAGGATTTATAATGTGAGCAATAAATACATCTCACATGGACATATTGACCACCCAAGAGCTCCTTTATCCAAATTCTCCATCGTCCCTTTCAAACGCTTATTAGTTATCAATTGTGGCAATCATTAAACTCTCAATCACCCACTGCAGTAGCCATTTCTCTATGTTCTGTTCAAGTTGTTCAACCGAAGGACAAGCAATTTAACAAAAGTTCAAGATTCTTATATGTGGAAGTCCAACTAAAATCCAATGAAATGGACCATAAGACATGAGTAATAAAGGCTTGATTTCATTTAGGATAATTTTTTTTATTGCTTTTTAAAAAGTTCTCTCAAACCTAAGTCTCAAGATATAAGGCTTCGTTTGGGATGGCTTTCTACAGCTTCTTAAAACAATTTTTTAGTACAAGAATTAAATTTTTTTAATTAAAAAACTGCTTTAAGAAGTAATAAGAAAGTCGTCCCAAACGAAACCTAAGTCCATGAATCAATAATTTTACAAACTATGATCTTTAAATTAACCCTTCACATTAACACAACTTGAAAACAAGCCCTTCTGACAGCTCTCGAAAGGGTGAAAGGGCAGGAGAAAAATAAGTTGACAAAATATTTCTAAGCCTTTCTTTTCAGTAGACTTAAACGAGAGCTCATCAAGGATTATTATTTCAGCTAAAGCCCTCCTCATAGTCTCTTTATGTTATCATGCTCTGGCAGTTATTATACCTTAATACTCATCTAAGGAAGTGGAGCAGAAGGACAGTTCTGCCAGCAGCAGAAGCTGCTCTCCACTCACGGTTCAACGGTGACTTTTACCCATATATTGGGCACTGTTCATGGAAACAAATCAAGGAATGAAAAATGAAACAAGCTCAAGCCATTTCTCTGTTTCTCTCTGCTTTGTCTCTCTAATGTTTTATCTTGCAGATTTCACTTTAGGCACTACATAGGTTTTTAAACTCTTCCCCGCATCTCATGTATCCCCTACATCTATAAGCAAATTAAAATTCAACTGAAAATAAGGAACATCTTCCTTTTTTTATTGCGAACCTAAACACAAAATCACAGAAAAAATACTAAAAAAATAAAAAAAACATTGTATTAAAAGGGGGATAACTAGGCAATTTAACTTGCCTAAGGATCATGGTTATTGTGTGCTAAAAAAATTGAGGTAGTAGAGTTTAGGTTTCAGTCTTAGGCCTTTTCCAACTGAATTCCAAATGCATGGAACGGCAAAACTTCCGCTATTTGGTTGCAAGTGAACAGTGTCTCGCCAACGTTGGCATTGAAGTGTTCACCTTCGCTATTTTTCTGTCTCTAAGCCTACGGGATTTGCCGAAGAAACGCGCGAAGGAGAAAGACGATTACCTGGGCGCAAAATGGAATTCGATTGGAGATGAATCACGCCATTTTTTAGTTTCACTACATTTTTGAGTGAAAAATTAGATTTTTGGTTGGAGATGCCCTAGCAATGTAAAATATCCTGATAACTTGAAGCAGCATAAATCATATTTTTACTAAAATTTCATTAAAATTCTAACTTGAATGATTAAAATTCCTAAAAAAATGTATGAAATACAGAAACTAGTTAGACTGCCCACTTTTTAGAATTCCTATTCATTTGAAACAAATTGAAAAAACCTGCACAAGTGCTCAGATCTGTACCAGTTGTGGCTTCAAGAAAAATCTGGATCTGAGGTGAGTTGCTCAATACTCAGCCGTCTCATTGAACTCGGCATGTCTTCATTAGAAGTGGAAATATGGTTCCTCCTACCAGATGCATCAACAAATGCTGGGAAATTCATATCATTAGCCTCATTTACCAGGTCTCTGAACGTTGGGTCTTCGCCAAAATTCATCAAAGCTTCGGTTGCATAATCCCTAAGCTCTTCCGAAGCACCATTGAACAAATCAATAAGAAGAGGAATTCCACCTGCCTCAGCCAAGGCTCTTCGATTTGCTTCTTCATAACTTAACTGAGCAATAGTCCCCATAACCTTCAACCTAATATCAACATTCCCGTTCATCAAAATCTCAATTAGAAGAGGAATTGCTCCTGAATCCCTCACCACAGGGAAAGAGTGCTTGTATCCGGCAATATCCCAAAACACATCTACAGCTGCTGACTTAGCCTCTTCATCACTGCCACGAAGAACCTTCACCAGTTGTTCAGCAATCAAAACCGCATTTTCCTCAGCCACAGCTAATATACAAAACACGTCTTCCGCTATTTCTCTGCCAAGAGGCTCAGGCCCCTCAAGAAGCTCGATATACAACGGAATCGCACCAGCTTCAGCCACAGGTCGGATACAATCTACATGGGAAGAAATTATACCAAGCGCATTACCAGCAGTTATCTTTGCCGGCTGGTTTCCTTCTCGAATCAATTGCAACAGAGCCAAAGCAGCCCCCGAATCTGCAAGCATGCATCGCACCCTCTTCGAAACTCCGAGAAGCCCAATAGCATGCGCAGCCTGGATCCTCGAAATCATCCTACCAAGTGATATCGCCTCAATCAAAAAGCTCAGAGCACCAGCGTTGATGACAAGCCTCCTTACTTCTCTTAGCATAGCCATCGCGCTAAGAATCTCCAGCAAGGGCTTTCTAGTATCATCGGAGCAAGAAGTGATCAATTCCAGAACGATATCCAATCCATTATTTTGTGCTAGGGTTATGCGATTAGGACCGTGGAAGGCTACGAGGGCGCTGAGGAGGCGAAGCAACGATCTCTGAAACCGATCACTCGACTCCGGAAGGAGCCCTAGAATGATAGAGATTGCGCCATGTTGTCCGATTATGGGGCAAAAGGGGGCGCCAGCGCGGCGAGCGAGACGGCAGAGGGCAAACGCGGTGGCTTCGCGTATTGATGGATGAGAGCTTCCGAGGTGAACGACGAGGGCCGGAACGACCGAGTAGAGGGCGGAGTCAGGCGCGAGCTTGGAGAGGCGGGCGAACTCGTAAATGGCTCTCAATTGCTGCCGTTCGCAGCCCCAGGTGATGACGGGGTAAAACAAGGAAATCTTCCCGTCCCAATTCGTGACATCGTCTTCAACAATCTGCGCATCTGGATTCATCGCTGGTCGAAGGAGAAATCCCAGTTAGGCGAGTAGAAGCCAGGCTCAAGAGACGGAGCGTCGTTTGACTTATGGTAGGATTAGTAAATCGCGTAAATTCAGATTTACTATAAAAGTTGCGGAATGTTAAATTATAGGGATCTATTTCGCATAATAGATGCTATTTTTTATTTAATTTTGTGAAAGTATTAAATAATGCAACTCAATATTTAAAAAGCTGAATTAAAATTAGATTTATGCAGTAAAAATTATAATAAAATAATAATAATTAGTATAAATGCATCCATTCATGAAATCAGCATAAAGAAACATATATATATATCATAACTATTATATTCAGTAAGGTCAAAAATATAATTAAATATAAAATTTTATTTCTTAGCAGCACGAGTATAACTTACACAGTTACACTCAAGTTGATCGGTCTTGTGAGTGGATTAATGCGTTACTAGCAACTTATGAAAAATTACTTAAAATTTTACTTAGTTTTTATTTTGGACGATTTTTTTACTGCTTCTTAAAGCAATATTTTAGTACAAAAAATTTAGATTATTGTACTAAATTATTGTTTTAACAAACAGTAAAAAAGTCACCCCACATGAAATCTTAGTAAAATAAAACATACATTGACTTCTTGCAAGTTGGTTGTAACTAAATACTTACTGCACATTGAATTCTCTCTTAAGATTTATTTGGGACAGCTTTCTTGCTACCTTTTAAAGCAACTATTTACTATAAAAAATTTAGGTTTCGGTTGGGACAACTATCTTACCTCTTCTTAAAATATCTTTCTAGTACAAAAATTTAAAATTTTTTTACTAATATTTTACTTCAAGAAGCAATAAGAAAGCCATCACAAACTAAACTTTAATTTTTTTACCAAAAAGCTTTAGTAAGAAACAGTAAGAAAGTCATCTCAAAATAAACTAATCATTAGGTGCATATTAGGATCTTGATATTATCTTATACATCATCACAATCACTATCATACTCTAAGAATGAATTTTTATAGCTACCCAAAAAACATATTTAATTTCCTGAAATATATGACATTGTTGGTTGGTTTACTCAAACACTACTAAAAAAATAAGCCATCGAGCACTTTTTATGACCTACAGTAGCGGTTTAAACACCTACTAATTTTTTTGCAGCGGTTTAGAAACTGCTGCAAATCCGCTGCGTTCGCTGCAAAGGCTTCGTTTGGGACAATTTTTTTACTGCTTCTTAAAGTAGCTTTCGAATACAAAAAAATTAATTTTTGAACTGAAAAGTTACTTCAAGAAACCGCAAGAAAGGCGTCCCAAATAAAGTCTAAGACTTCATTTTTAACGGCTTTCTTAATATTTCTTAAAGCAGCTTTTTAGTATAAAAATTCTAAAATATAGCTTTAAGAAGCAGTAAGAAAGCCATCCCCAAAGAAGCCTAAGACGAGAGATATTGGAATTATAGAGCTAAGAAGAACAATGGTCGTAACAAAGCTAGGAAGAACAAAGGTGGTTGAAATTTGCACAATCACTCTAGCAAATATAAGGCGTTTTCTTCATCCTAAGAAATCAATAGCTAATGGAATCATGATTTTACTCAACAATTTTGGAAACTTCCTTCTCAGACCAATGTCCTTAGTACATGAAAATTTAAATAAGAAAAATTCACAAATCACCGGCAAGAGAAAGCAGGTCAAAAGTACTTTTGATCTTCCAATTCTTATTTACGACAGAATGTTCTCTTCCCAATCACATGGTCCACTGATGCCAACATTCAGGCTCTGTTTAGGACAGCTTTCTTATTGCTTCTTAAAGCAATTTTTTAGTACAAATTTTAATTTTAATTGAGGTCAAAAGTGCTTCTTAAAGGGTGCATATCCCAGTTCATTTGAGGGTGGGCAATTAAAATTTGTGACCTAAAAGTGCTTTGGTTTTGGAGTTCTGCCCCCTCTCAAAAATAATTTTTTGCCCTAACATGTCCATCTCGCGCGTTCCTGCCCATCGAACGGCAATGCTAGTGGTCGAAAAAACTTTGGCGTGCAAGAAAAAGCGGCTGATGTCTCTGATCCTTTCTCCCTCTCCTGATCTGAGTTCCATCTCCGTGCTCCATCTCGACAAGGCTTACTTATGCCCATTGACAGCCCGTCTCTGACGCATGAGGGAGCAAAGGAGCTGAAGGTTATATTTTGCCATTAATGGCGATGGCTTTCAAGTCAAAGCTTCTTCTCTTGATTGGTGTTGGGGAGACATTATAATCTTTTATGAAAAGAAGAGAAAGATGTATGATGAGCGTGACAGGAAAAAGTAGAGATAACTGAAAAAAGTTATAATTGTCTCTTTGCCTCCCAGCATCAAGGCAGAGATCTTAGCCGTCCCCATTTCTACTGGCATGGGTAATTGTCTCTGGACGGGCACTGATAAACCTGCTTTTAATTCTTTTCACAAAGGCTTCTTTTTAAACGAACAAACTGTTACTTGGTTTAAGCATGTTTGGCATAAGCGTTATGCTTTACGCTTCTCTCTTACTACTTGGATGGCTTTTCGTAATGGCCTTAAAACTCCTGATAACCTCAATGCTAGAGGTTTGGCTGTTAACACTAGTTGCATTTTTTGTCATCATTCTGAGGAGAATCACAAACATTTGTTCTTTGAGTGTGAGTTTACCTTCCAGGTGTTGTTGAAGGTATTTCCCTATTTTAACCGTATGCTTCTAAGGCCTAATCTGGGTCAAGCCTTTCAAAGCATTGAGGATTGGGATATGGATAAAAGCAGGAAAAACTATTGCTTTATGCTTCTTTGTGCTATTGTTTACTATCTTTGGCGAGCACGGAACGACAGGCTTTTTGGCAACCTTATTGATTGTCAAAACACTATTATTGCCAAGATCAAGCATATTGTGAACCTTAAAACTGCAAAGCGGAAATGACTGATCTGGTCTCCGATTTTCTGGCATTTGTTATCCTCTCGTGCCCCACTTGCTGGATGAGGTCCCTGCTGCTTATCGGGCTAATGCATTACCTGGAGGGCTATCTTTGGCAACCAGGTTTCGCCTTTTTGAAGGACAATGATGAGAGCATTCTATCTGCAACCCCTTTGGACGGCCGACTGGCAACCAGGGGAACCATACATCCTGAAGGATGAATTTTGTTACCTGGGTGATCTTCTTGTGAAATGCAATTCTGAGTCCTTTTGTTTTACTCATTCCTGTTTTAGCTTTTCTTTTTTAAGCAGCTAATTGCTGATAGGGTTTTGTGTCTGCTGCCTTTTTGTTGTGCTAGCAGACTTTTTACTTGTATTTCTTTCTTCATTTTTAATGAAATGGGCTAAGGCCCCTAATTTCCCAAAAAAAAAAGAAGTTATAATTATTTGCTCTAATTATTAAATGAACTAAATCATTATATCTAAATATTAAAATTACTATTTATATAATTATGTTCCAATTTATAAAATAATTCCAGATATCTAAAAAGCATATTTCTTACGGTGATGAAGCCTCATGAAGGTAATCCAATGAGCGAGAAAATCAAAGTTCTGATATTTTGGATTGTAACCATTCTGCATTGTAGATGCATTAAGGTATATATTTTCAAACATATCGCCTTCTAATCTCTTTTTTTTTTTAATATGCAGTTGGTGTAATTGTGAAAAATTTTGAGGGGGTTTTTGAAAAATTTATTAAGGGAGCCTAAATTAATTATTTTTTAATTTTTTTCTCAACTTTTTTAATCTGGCCTTATGATCAACATATGCAATTAAAAAAAAAATCTCAATTAGTATTTGATGCAAGATTTTTCACATTTAATTTCAATTTCTTAGAAAATTTACATCCACTCGAATGGGTTTCAATGTGAAGGCCAAGGAAGGTTAATGTGGATTGTGGAGTATAAGATTTGAGTTTTACTGCATGATGATTTTTAAATTTTATCAAAAAATATTTTCATTTATTTTTAAGTCAATCAAATATTTAAATTTTATAAATCTCTCCATTTAAAATGTTGTACACTCAAACCCCTTTAACCAATCAGTACATATATAGATAAGTTTTATTAATAGAAAATGATACAAATAATTATTTTATATAACATAAATTAAATATTGATTTAGGTTTTCATTCATCTTTTTAAATATTGATTTGATAACAATGAGACTGCATATTATTTCGAAAAGAAATCACAAATACATTGTGATATGCACGATATGTTTGATAATTTGAATATATGAGCCCATCCTACTCAATATTTAAAATTTGGACCATATTTTGTTTTAATCATTTTTTTTTTAAATTTTAGCTTATATATGTTTTAACTTTTTAATATTTAATTTTTCCGAGACGCTCAGTTTGACTATAAACTCGCTGAAATTGGTGTTTAGATGGTCTCTGATTTAATTTTTGAAGCTTCCAACTCTATTCTGCCTCAAGATTCGTGTATGATCAAGATAATATTTTGGTGACATATCAAGCTTATATATGTTTTAACTTTTTAATATTTAATTTTTATATAAAAGTCCGCCCACCCTAAAAAATAAGGCTGGATCCGCCCCTGAGAGCCAGCAAAAATGGTGGAAAATTAGTAGATGTAGAGGGGGAGAGGTTGCAGGAAAGAGAGGGGAAGTGCGAAGGAGGTCCATAAACCTTGCAAGCTTCATTTGTCCTTGCAGGCTAAAGCAACTTCCATTTGTATGGAATAATGGGAATTATGATCTCTTATGTTGTCTTATTACAAATAAGTCTTTAAAACTATGATCAAGATAAAAGCTGAGAAAGATTGGGTGGTTGAATTTATTTCTTTCATACACAACTAACAAGGTTATTAATAGGCTTTCCTATTACTCTATTAGTTTATTTAGATAGATTTAAGACTTATATTTGTAGTGCTTTATTTAGATTGATTTCAAACTTCTCTTTGTGGTGGTTTATTTGGATTGATTTAGAACTTCTCTTTGTTTTGAGTTGGATGTAATTAAGTTTAAGAGGCCTCTTTTGTTTTGTATGCATTTGCGGCTTCTTAGTAGTTGATCGATTCTCTCATCTCCAGTAATTGTGTATTACGGTCGCATCGATAATCTTTATGCCTTATTTTGTGTTTGATCTCTTTCTTATCTTCATTTTATATTCATTAAGCCATTACAATATTCACTTTGGGTTTTTTTTTTTAGATTCTATATATGGTTTTCTTCAATTTTTTTTAGTGTGGCATGCACTTAGATTCTAATTTCTTCCCTCACAGATGAACACCTTGAGAAGAAGAATACTCCCATGAGAAAGCCTAACTTCATATTTCCTTTCAGGATCAAAGTTCATTCAGTTTGGTTTGTAAAGGATGTTTATTTGAAGTACAACTTAGGAGAGCCCATATTTAGTGGCTCGACCATTTTATTCTGTTAATGTCTGAAATATTTGGCGTTGGTCTCTGAAACAACTCTTATAACTACGCAGCTTCGGAAGAAAATCTAGGAAACATTTTGAAGTCTCAGCAACCACATCGTCGGAAAAGTCGTCAAAATTTGTGATGAATTTATTGCCGTCGGAAATGAGTTGTTTTCCTGTAATGTCAATGCACCTTTTGAGTTTCTGCGATAAATATAAACTTGAAGAGAGAGATGGCGCTCCCTATCTTGGATGGACGAACAGGACTTTGGTTGTCTCCTCTGCATGGCGAGTTATTACATCCGGTCACCCGACGTCTGGACATTCAATCCAGACGTGCCACGTCACCTAAATGCACCGGGTCGTCTCGACGTATTTGGTTGACGTGACACGTCTGGATTGGTGTCCGGATACCAATCCGGACAAATCCGGACATCGGACGTAATAATTTGCCCCTCTGCATGGAAGTGAAGGTTGAGAATGATCAGACTTTTGGTAAGATCATGGCTCCACTTTTCTGCTGGTAGTCTTCTTTTTCTGAACCAGATTGTAATCTGTAAGTTTTACTGCTTATCATTCATGGGATTATTTTTTTGTTATTTCTTAAAACAGTTTTCAAGTACAAAAATTAAAAAATTATTTTAAGAAGCAGTAACAAAGCCGTCCCAAACGAAACCCTAATCTCTACATTATTAGATTTGGTTATGTGGATTAAATAACTAAATCCTGGAACAAGCTGTTTCAGTTCATTAATCGACCTTGCAGTAACTCAAGATCCACCAATGGGATCTGAAGAGCTTCCGAAAAAAATCTTTGAAAATACTCTTTTAAGATTCTTCTTCATTTTGACAGATTCCACTTCCTCCCGATGATTGAAAATTTTAACTATTTCGCAGCAAGATTCGCCATCTTATTAACTATTAAATTTCTTCTGTTTAAAATGTATTATAAGCAGCTTAAGTGTTTTAAAATATATTAATAGACCCATCATATTGAATTTTTTTTCTTTAATATTATTATCTATCAAATAATTAATTATAAAATTATATGGTAAAGTATTCAAAAGAAAAATTATTTTATGAAACTGAGTTAGTAAGACTTCTAAAATAAAAGTGATATATCATAAAAAAAAAATTATATTGATCGGGCATGAATCTCAAGCTAAAATTGAGTTGAAAATTTTCAAAATTAAATTTAGGATCATCCGAATTTTGATTTCAACAAACTTATAGTCGAATTGAACGTCTCGAAAAGATGAACCCAACGACACCAAATTCGAATTAATCCGAGCCCAAATGGTATCAAATTGAAGACCCGAAGCGTTTTTGAAAAGTTTAAACTATAATTTTTTATTAATTTTTAAAACAACGTTTTAGTATAAAATTTTTTATTTCAAAATATTTTATAGAAAAAAAAAACTTAGTTGGAAACTTCAAAAATTAATTTCGGGAGCATATGAACTCCGATTTCAGCGAGGTTACAGTCAAACTGAGCGTCTCAGAAATACAAACCCAACGACACCAAGATCAACCCAATCCGAGCCCAAATGAGTCCGAATCAAAGGTTGGAAGTAATGTTGGGAGGTTCAAACCGCAGTTTGAGTTACCAAACGGTCTCCGATTTTGACGAGCTTATACTCGAATCGAACGGCTCAACGAGACGAATCCAACGAGCCCAAGATCATCAAATTCCAAAATCATTAAGGCCTTAAAATGTCCAACGAACGGTGCATGTCGAAGGATTCGATATCGGCCGTCCATTCGGATCACTCCCAATTCGCCCTTGATCTCACGCCTATTTACGGGCTGTGCCACTACAGAAAAACTATAAATAGAGCCCTCATTCCACACCAAGGGGCTCAAGTGAAGAGAGAGAGAAGAAGAGGAGAAGGAGAAGGAGAAAGGGGAATAGGAGATTCCTCACCTCCTCGACCACCGCCGCCGGAGTTTTTGCTGCCGCCTGAAGACACCGGAACTCTGCCGGATTTTCGGGAAACACCAGGAATTCGCAGAAGAAGAAGGAGAAAGGGGAAAAGGAGATTCCTCACCTCCTCGACCACCGCCGAAGCTCTTCCTGCCGCCTGAAGACGCCGGAACTCTGCCGGATTTTCGGAAAACGCAGGGAATTCGTAGGATTTTGTGAATTTCGTGGAAGGAACGAATTGTATTTGGATTATCCCGATTTGTGGGACGAAATCCGCCATTTATAATCTACGAAAACACTAGTGGAATTTTGCAAATGGGCGAGGCCCCGTGGTTTTTTCCCTTTTTGGGTTTTCCACGTAAAAACTCTTGGTGTTCACTCCCCTTTTCTGTTTGTGTGTTAAACTTACGTGTAACGCTCGGACGCAAATTTATAAACTCTACCGCCGCGTATTTTCTAATATTAAATTTCTTTGATTATGGAGTATTTGTTCATCATTTAAGTGTGTTAAAGATATTATAATTGAGTGGTCTTAGGCTCGTAGGATTTATCTCGACGAGCCATTGGATTCGACTATAAGCATATCATATTTGAATATCATTTGATTTTTCAATTAATGGTTTGAAGCTTTATAGGCTTTTTCCCTTTGATTTGAACCCCATTTGGGCTCAGATTATACCGAGTTTGGTGTCATTGAGTTCGTCTCCTTGATATGTTTAATTTGACTATAAGCTGGCTGAAATTAGAGTTTGAATGATATCGATTTTATTTTCTAGAAAAACTCGGTACAACTCGGTATTGCTCGGGAAATACCGCTCTGTGAAGATCATTACCGAGCAATGCCGAGTTGTACCGGTACAACTCGGTATTGCTCGATATTACTCGGTATTTGTTCGGTATTGATTATTGTCTAGCAAAATCGATCAATACCTAGCAATACCGAGCAATAACTAGCAAAATAAAAAAATACTGAGCCATCCTGGGTCTGTTCCGGATCTGATTGTCGGGACGCGAAATAAATAATGAGAACTACTGACGTCCTGTGACAGTACCAAATAAAAGTTTCATAAAGGTGGGCTCCTTCCCAAATCGGACAGGTGTCAGCGTGCCACGACAATCATCGCTTCGTTCGAAAGCACACGTTGCCTATAAAAGCATGCTCGGATTCGGATCTTTTCAACTGTTTCTTTCCGTCTCGTCGTTTTCCAAGTGTTCATTTCCGTCTTCTCATCTCCTTCCAAACGCAGAAAGGGTGAAACGATTTGCACGTTTCTTCACGCTCCGCCTATAATTAGGGGTGGAATCAACCGGAGGTTTTTTGGGCGTTTGATCGGTGTTACTTTGGGCGAGATCGTCGCTCCGATCGGTGGTACGACATGTGAATGAGGTGTCAAGTAGAAGTTATTTTGTGAGAACATTGGACCATCAAGAGGTCAATCAAAAGATATGCAGTAATAATACACAATAAAAAAAATGAGGTGGCATATTATGATTCGTCTGAGTATTTGTATCGGCACATAATAGGTGGGCTCCTCCCCCAAATCGGACACGTGTCAGCGTGCCACGGCAATCATCGCTTCGTTCGGAAGCACACGTTGCCTATATAAGCATGCTCGGATTCGGATCTTTCCAACTGTTCCTTTCCTTCTCGTCCTTTTCCAAGTGTTCATTTCCGTCTTCTCATCTCCTTCCAAACGCAGAAAGGGTGAAACGACTCGCACGTTTCTTCACGCTCCGTCTTAATTAGGGGTGGAATCAACCGGAGGTTTTTGGGGCGTTTGATCTGGGTTACTTTGGGCGAGATCGTCGCCGCCGATCGGTGTTACGGCTTGTACTAGGGTTGGGGTTTGAGGGGAGGGTGGATCGATGGGTTTGCTCTTCGTGGAAACGCTGCCGGGCCCTAAGGTGTTCAAATGCAAGCTCTGTAAGGTCGATTCGGCTTCCCAGGATGAGATCGTCTCTAAGGATTTTCAGGGGAGGTATGGCCGAGCCTATCTCTTTGAAAAAGTGTAAGTTCTCTTCTCTGTTTTATAATTTTTCTGAGTACGACCTCAGATGTTTGTTTATTCGCCTAATCGGGTCCCTTTCTCAATCGGCTCTATTTATGGTGTTTATTTTGGGATAAATTATTGTGTGTGAATCCGTATGCATTCGGATTCCAATCACCATGCGCCACATCACTGAATGCACTGTGCCCCGGAGTGCATCCGCTGACGTGTCAAGCGGTGATTGGAATCCGAATGCAGTCGGATTCCGCACACAATAATTTCTCTTATTTTGGTGGGCTTCTTAGCATGTCTTTTATGTGGTTATGTTGACAGAATCGGGCTGTTGAATGGTTCTAAGCATTCAATTTATTGCTTGAAGTTAGAAAACATGTTTTATGAAATGGTGAAACTTGTTAAATTCTATCATTGGAAGGATGCAATATTTGACATTAACATTTGCTTAAAACTTTAAAAACTCCTCCAAAAACTCCTCAAATCCAATGATTCTATGTGCACCCTCAAAACGAGTGAAAATTGAAATCATCCTTTTGTTAAACAGGCTTTTCATCTATCATCTACAAGCAACTGCATGAGATTATGATAGAAATTGAGATTTGCAATTCTTTTTTGTTGAATTTGGTAATTAGAAAAGGGTAATGCAATATTTTTTTTAAAAAAGGATTTGATAATTTACCATTGTTGAAGCATGAAGGCAAGCAAATGCTGTTCAAGCCTTTTTGGTTTTCTTTCTAACTAATGTGCTCCATGTTTCATTTATACGAGGGTTAGGGTCAAGGGTCAGTAGAGCCTAACATCTCTAGCGCCTTTGGCTGAACTATGAGATTGATTAGCATATGTTACAATAAGATGTAGATGGCATGCCTTTTCCTATATATCTTTTACGAAATTTAGTACACACGCTACGGATTAGGTAGTTGATCAAATCAACAATCTTCCTTCTCCCCTTATCGCTATGTGGGTTAGGCAGATTTCTATGTAGTATAGCTTTCGAACCAGTCAAAAGTCAATAGCAGGAGAGAAAGGCTAAATCTTCTCTTTCAAAAGTGGGAAGAAACATGGTAAGTATCTAAAAAAGTCTTGTCCGGGTCGTGACACCCAAGGCCATGTTGACCAAAGAGGCAGTGGAAAGAGTTTTTTAGGAACATTTGAAAAAGGGTTTTCTAATTGACAAAATAGAAAGGAAGTTGGATAACAACCCTAGCCTTAGCTATTGGACCGTAGGCAAGGGAAATGCTAATAGGATGCCATCATACTATTCAAAATTCAATGTTTTGGAGTGTCTTTGTTTCATGTTAGTTTTGGTTCAAGCCAGGAAACTAAAGTGTTTTTATAGGAAGGGTTCTTCCCATCATCATCATTACTTGCGAGGAGAAGATGATGTGGAGGACTCATGAGCCTCTTCTTTTCTTCCGGATCTCTCACATCATCGTCTGACGCCTCTTCTTCTATAGTAAGGAGTAAGGGTGAGGGGGATGCCTTTGTTGCGGAGACCCTTGGTTTCCTATTGAGGGATGAGTGGTGGCTTCCGACCTAAGTGGGTTTGCATTGTAGGGAAACCATAGTCTCCAAAGTTTGAGTCTGCAGGCAGAGACTTTTCATCATCCTAACATAAAAATGCCTTCAATCCAATAATCTACTTCTAGGTGTCTTAGAAATGAACATCTTTTTTCATAGTAGGGTTGGGGGAAGGTATAGTAAAGACGATTCGAAAATGCCTTATCTCTTGATTCATTAAGCAACTAAGAAAACAAGGAAAATGGATCTTTCTCCAAACCAATAGTTGTACCACTTACTGAGAACCATAGAAGTAAAGACTGAATAGCTTTTGACCTGCACTTCTTTTTTACTTACTAGTTCAGTTGGCCTAAATCTCTAATTCTGTCTAATCGGCTTGGCCTATCTCTAGATATTTCATAAAAAAGAATGTCATCTAGCTCCTCATCCATAAAAAAGAATGGAGAGTTGTGCAATTGTCATCTCTAAAAGCGGAGATCAATCAGCATCCCTTTGAATTGATGAGCTTTCACCTTATTCCTCGAAAACCTCTCTTCCAACAACCAATTCCAAACTAAAAGTTAATGAAAGAGGAGAAGCGAACAAATAGACTACATTTTAGACTGGGACAAGTGTGCAAGCTAGATTCAAAATATGGAAGGATATTGACAAAGAAGAAAAATGTATTGATTCTCATTATTATTGCTAACCAGCTACCAATCAAAGAAAATTGGCTTTTTGAAAGCAACATATGATGAAGAACTTTTGTTGCTGTCGATTGTAATTGATTGAATGAATACATTAGATTAGTGTCATTTATTCTATATTCTTTGAGAAATAAACTTCTCTTCTTTGTGTTATTTATGCAACTTATTACCCTATTTATAATGTAAGGAAGTTATATGCAAGAAAAGTTAATACTTCCATGCTAGGAAAGAAATAATGATGTATAATATATATATATATATATATATATTGGCAGATTATAAATTACTCCGAAATTAGTGGCTGATTGAAAGAAATTTGATTCATGTAATGATGAATAATTTTGAGGGATTCCCATTAATACTCACGTTAACACTTCTCCTCAAGTTAGAGCATAGATATCTTGTATGTCCAACTTATCTAGTGAGATATAAAAAAATTTGCTTGAGACAAGCTTGGTTATTGTGCAGGTTAACTAATCTTTTGATTTTACGAATGAAAATTGAATTGTTTTGGATTCAAGTTTTTCCTTGATGAAATTTCAATCTACTTCAATATATTTTGTTTGAATCATATTGAATTAAATTGTATGCGATGTCAATAGATGCCCTATTTTTGCAAAATAATATAATTTTAGATTTGAATGAGTAGCCTATTTCTTCTATCAATTCTTTTAGCCATAATAGCTCTCCCAATCCTTTAGCCATTCATCTAAGCTTAGCCTTTGCAGTATATAATGCTACCACCTTTTGTTTTTTACTTCTCTAGATAATGAGAAAGGTAAAATATCCTAACATTGATCTTCGACATGATGTGTTTCCTACATAATAAGCACATGTATGTCTATTAATGTTTAGATGATAATGCTTCCTGAATATAATTCCCTCCTAGCGAGAATTTAAGTACCACAAGACCTAGTGTGCTGCATTTACATGGTCTTCACTTTCATGGTATATGAATTAGCTTACCAAACTTATATCATAGGCAATATTTGATGGGCATGGGATAGGTAGATCAACTTTCCCATAATACATTGGTGCCTTTCCTGATTTGTAGTTGATTTTTATATACTCCTAATTCATGATTCTAATTGCTGGTGTGTTAACAGGTTTACAATAGATTATCCCAATATCATATGTTAGACCAAAAATGTATTTTTTGTGATAAAAATATAACTTGATTTGATTGAGTTATTTCAATTCCCAAAAAATATGTTTGCCTGCTCATATTTTTTTATTTTGAATTCAATAGCTAAATATTTTTGTAGTCATGTTATTTTTTCTTCGTTGTGCCATTTAATTATCAATCATCTATATAACTTATCAAGTATGTCACCATACCTTATTGATGTTTTAGGAACATAGTATGTTATGAATTGTTTTGTTTGAAGTCATGCTTTCATTATTACACTAAATCTCCCAAATCATGCACTTGGGGATTTCTTTAAGCTGTATAAGGCTTTGGTTGACTTACTACATCTGTTTTAGGCGAAGTGGTAAATCCTTGTGGAATATGTATGTATGCTTCTTCAAGTTCTTAATGGAGAAAAACATTTTTTTTTTCAAATCGAACTATTGTAGAGGTTAATCTAAGTCTGCGGTAATAGATAGCAATACTCTGATGGTGATCATTTTTTCCATTGGTGAGAATATATCTTGATAATAAATATTGAATTTTTTATTGTATCCTTTTGCAAAAAACCTCTCTTTTTATCTTTCTATTGAGTCATCCATCTTGTGTTTGATATATAACACCCATCTTTATCCACGATTTTCTTTCCTTGAAGTAGTGTTACAAGTGTCCATGTTTCATTCCTTTGTAGTGCTATCATTTTTTTTTTCTTTTATACTTGGGTCTATTTGGGGTTGTTCAGTGCTTCTTTTTCTAGAGATAATGTTGATACCTTGATGTCTTCTGTTCGTGATCAAAAGATATCAATTTTATGGGTTTTCTTGATTTTTTTTATGGAGCGATGTAGACATATAAGATATTTGCAATGTTATTGGGAGATAAAAGGTGGAGTGTGTATCTTAGGTATATTTCGGGAGATTGGTTGCAGTGTACTTCTTTGTAGTGGACTTCTCAAGCTTTTCGTGTTCAACAATTTTGACGTATACAGTTTTGTTGGTTGGCATTGGCGATTGTTGGGGTTGGACCTTGCTAATAATAGTTGCTACATTGTGTTCTAGTTGACCCCCAATTTCAGCTTTTGTAATTTCAAATTGATCTTCCAATTCTCTACCCCTAATAATAGGCCATTTTTCACGCGTCAATTCTTCATTTAGTGTTGTTGAACTCAAGCTCAACCTCTGCAGACATACTTTGGTTGGATTTGCATTTCCTCGATTCAATATTTGTGGTACTACATAGACCAGATGATTCGAACCCAGACCTTCGAGTAGAACCACATCCTAGTCATCTAAATATACTTTCATTCAGCAAGTCTAGCATACACTCTCTGGTCATGCATTACACTTTTATTGACATATTGATTGCTAACTCATGCACATGAGTGAACGCTACATTTGACATCAGCAACTCTAGGTATGCATTTGCCTCTCAGCTGTTGATCCCTTACCTAGCTTGATAGGTTCTCTTGAGGATCTGGATAGTTGTAGGATGTCACTTGCGACTATGATCCTAGTTTCAGATCTCGATCCTATATGTGATTATCATGCTTTATTTCATGCAGTTTATCACACGATGGGGGTATTTTTACATGCTTGGTGAAAAATTATATGCACATTTTCCGTATGAGAAAGAGGTGGGATGACTGTCACTATTAGTGCTTGAAGTAACAAGATTTGGGAGGATAGGCACTAGATTTTGTTGCACGTTCTGACACTAGATTCTGCTCAACTTCAGAGAACTCTTCCTCTGCCTCTTCTGACCATCGTGCCACCACGATATGATGTAGGAGGTACTAACGTTGGCAATTGGAATATAGGTGCTACTTTTGGAAGCTGAACGTGCTGCTACTTCGGGCTTATGAGGTCTACACATTGGCACTAGCTATAATACTCCTTGGAATTTCCCTCTTGTTGCTACTGTTGCTCATACACTAAGGGCTACTGGGTTTTTGCTGTAAAAAAATTTATGCTAAAGATCTAACTAAACCTTGCCAAGCCTCTCTCCCCTTCTTCTCACTTTCTTCCCTCTATCTATCTCCTAGTCTACTTACTGTATTGCTTTGTTAGGTCTCTTTCTCTCATATCAAAAGTCTTTCTTCGCTATAAGTGGTTGTGTTTAAAGAGTTGTATATCTGTAAATATCGAAGAAGTTAGTTGAAGATCCAACTCAAAGATGATCCCTGAAAACTACTGTCACTTCAGTGCGCATGTGCACTCGGAGATATAAATGAGTTGTGTTTTAGTTTAGTAATTCTGTTGAATGTAGGTGTATCTCTGCTTGATGCTAATAGTTGGTCTCACCACCATATGTGTTTGTCCAACAAGTAAATATGTGCGCACACCTTGATATTGTTGACTCAGGGCATAATAGTACATGATATTGATGATTTGTCTCAAGAACACCTACACTCCTGCAGCAAATCTCCAATTTTGCTCTCCCTAACAATGTCAACGATCAGGTGATACCATAATAATAATTGATGTTATTCAATTCCGCAATTTCCTCGTTTGTCAAGTTTCCATTCCATGTAACTTTCAATAGTTGTTGTTCCGACTCATTCTGATGACCCAATGTCATTCCTTTCCCTTTTTCTTCTTCCTTACACAGCAAACCGGGGATCGTGGGGAGGTTAGTGGAGAGAGGAATGACTTTTTAATATATATAAAAATCCTGTTAGTGGCTTAGCGTCATAGCTCTTCAATTCGGTGCCACAGGTCTACATGCTGAATCTATAATTACTGTAGAGCATAGCCTTCAATGCCCCGGTGACAACTTCTGGCATCGCTGCACACGATGGGGGTATTTTATATGTTTGGTGAAAAATAATATGCACATTTTAGTATGAGAAAGAGGTGGGATGAGTGTCACTATTAGTGCTTGAAGTGACAAGATTTGAGAGGAGAGGCACTAGATTTTTTTTTTCACTTTGTTATGCTGCATGCTCTGACACTAGATTCTGCTAAACTTCAGAGGACTCTTCCTCTACCTCGTCTGACCATCGTGTCGCGACAATACGGTGTAGGAGCTACTAACGTTGGCAATTGGAATACAGGTGCTACTTCTGGAAGCTGAACATGGGGCTACTTCGGGCTCATGAGGTCTACACACTGATACTAGCTGTAATACTCCTCGGAACTTCCCTCTTAGTTGTGAAAAGTAACTTCCGACCCAGAAAATCAACAACAAAATAATATTCAAATGAAAGCGTGGTTTGAAATACAAAGTATTGAAAAAACTTCCCCGAATAGGGCCTTAACCTCTAACAATGGAAAGTCAAATCCTTAAGGAATGTTATTCTTATCAATTAGTATTTAGGTCATTAATATTTTGTCATGTTGATAACCCATTCCTTTGAACACTTTATTGTAAATTCTGAAATTTAAAGTTTGTCTTCTATGAAATCGGTTCTCATTTTTTTGCTTGTTAAACTTTATACCTGTCCTATTTTGAATTTTGAAAATTCCTATGAGGATTGGCGTTGTATCAACAAATATACCCAAGTTCTTAGATGATGAAGAAGTCACGGTGCACGTGTTTGCGTATTCTGATCCTTATGTATCTTACTGTTTGGTACATACATATCATTTGTGAAAGGCGTTTCAGATAATGCTGCATATGCATATGGTCTCAAATCCTATGATTTTGTTATCTTATGGCTCCAAAACCACTAAAATGCCCGTGTCTTTACGTGTCAGAAACAGAAAATAGTTAGCTACCGAGTTAGCATATTAACTAATTTAATTACATGAAAATGTTAGGCCGGCCCAAGGGGGGCCGGCTGAACCAGCTGAATCGGTTCCTAGTGGACTGGTTTTTGTCTACAGGTGACAGGTCCAAGGGGGGCAGCGGCTAAGGTTTTGTATTTGCCCTCTTTGCTTTAATTAGCTTCTCACATTAGGGTTTCATCTTGAATTTGAATATGAAAATTAGGATCCTTATGTTAATTTTGGGCTCTAATCTTTGGTTAGAGATTGGGAGAGTTAATCTTTCTCTCGAATTGAAGATTATTGTATCTTAAGCTGTTTTTCTTCTTCTATTAGTGAATTTCAAGTGTTTTTCTCTCAGATTTCTTACAATTTTATAAAGATATGCTCTGTTTTGGCTGAATTTTTCTGAAATTCAGCAAACTTCTACACTATTGGTGGCTATTTTATATCAGAAAATCATTTAGCTACTTATTATATGAACATTTATATCCCAGTGGAAGTGAGATTCTAATGTAAAATGTATTACTACATTTTCAGGGTGAATGTTTGTCTGGGTCCAAACGAAGACAGGCATCTTTTATCTGGACTTCACACAGTGAATGACGTCCACTGCAGTAGCTGCCAACAAATTCTTGGATGGAGATATGTAAGATTCTCGTAATTCATCTCTTGTTCTTATTGATTTTCGCATTTTTTATTGCATGATCAAATCATTCATTATGCAGCTGCTAGAAGAGAAGAATTTTTATGCAGCTCACAGGACAAAAAAAAAAAAAAAGTAAAATTTTTTTAGTTTCTTGTTTATTTTTTGTGGAGTTTTCTCTTAGAGGGATGAGCAATGGTGATACTATAGGGCTTTTGTCAATTTGAATTAGCAAGTTAGGTTTTTGTATGTAACCAATGTTAACTTGACCTTATTATACTTGATACGTTTTTGACCCATTTACATACAAGTCAAAATGCTCAACTTGAATCCGATTCCACCCGAGCTCATCTAACCTAAACCTTGTTTATTGGTTAGTGGTATTTTTGGAGATCAATATGACTTGTTTAACACAATTATGACCAATTTAATCCAAAAATGACCTATTTAACGTAAACCTGAATAATAATCTTATTGATTTCAAATTTTCAGGTCAAATCCAATCCGAATGTTTCAATTTAGATATCGGTTAGGTTGTTGAGTCAGGTTGGATCATTTATTGACACCCCTCTCTTAGACCTTTAAAACACTTTTTTTTTTTTTGATAATCACAAACATTAAATACCATAAACATAAGGAAGAAATGGGATTTAAGACTTTAAATAATACTTATGGCCATTTGTTGAAGAGGGATAAAATTCTTTGGAGTGTATATAAGAATCTGGACTCATGATAAAACGTGGTGGACAGTACTAACTAATGGGACTTGAGATCCTTTAATTATGAGGAAAGAGGTAAGTTTCTTCACATCATCCATACTGATTTTAGCATTATATTATCATTAAATAAAAATTGAAGTCTAAGGCTTTGTTTGGGACAGTTTTATTACTGCTTCTTAAAGCAGCTTTTAAATACAAAATTTTTAGTTTTAGTTTTGAAAAATTACTTTAATAATCAATAATAAAGCTGTCTCAAATAAAGTCTAAGATTTCTTAGATAAATTAGGAGAAGAGCAAAGAAAGCAACTGCCCTTACATCATCTTACATCATCTATAAGTTGCAGTTTTTTTTTCTGTTAATTTCTTAGTTGCTGCATTTATCTTGATTAGGACATGATATAAATAACTCTCAGCATATCTGCTATTTTTGTGTATATATTTTAGGAGAAAGCATATGAAGAAAGTCAGAAATACAAGGAAGGCAAGTACATTCTTGAGAAAGCCAAGGTAATGAAAGTGGGCTAACCCTAAATCTGCCTCATTCACACTAAGCAATGTTAGTAAATAAGAGGTATTGTTCTCACTGCTGCATCCACCATTCGTTCTTCTTTTCTGCATCATTAATATTGCAAAATGATAATCTGCCTGTTTAGTTTCCGAATGTATTCACATTCTTGAACTCTGTTCATATTTGAACTAGGTTTTTTGTCTGCCAAGAGTCGTTTTAATTTTATCAATATAAAAATGATTAATCTGTCTGCATTTATCTTTGCATGATTCTGCTGAATATTGGGATAATTTAGTTTCTAATTTAAAAGCATGTTCTTTTTTTGTTCGTATTTTTTAAATTTTTTTGGATTCCATCTTTGAAACAAACAAAACATGATTGAAATGGGTTGATTGGTTGGGTTTGGGTCTAACCTGAATCTGACTTGAATTTAATCATGTTGAACTTGATTCATGAACAACTCGAATAATCCAAACCCAACACGTTAACCTGTTTTGATTATTTAAAAAAAGCTTATTAATTATAAAATCTAAAATAAGAAAATTTCACCCATAAGTTTTAAAAAAATTATGGAAAACATGTATTAAATGGATCATTTTTGGGTGAAAAAGGGTTTGCTTGTCAACTCAATCTTGATCTGTTTATTAAACTGGTCAATTCAAACCTATATTTTTGGAATCTAGTTAACGGGTTGGGTCGGTTATGGACACCCTTAAATTGAACAGCTTAATAAACATTATACAATTCCTTCTGTCAATTGAAGCAAGGAATGTACTCAGTTATAATGTGCCATGGCTTCAAAAGACCATAGTTTATTTATATATGCTTGCTTAATAAATATAATTTCAAAGTTTTATGTACATGCAGTTCATTTTGATCTATTGGTTGAGAGTTTAGACTATCAATCAAGTTTTTAAGTGTCTGTTTGTCTTAATTCATTTAAAGTAAAAAAAAAACCCATTAAAAAACCGCCCAATTCTGGAAATCGCTTTAAGACCATCTCCAATCGTTCGGCAAACAACTGAATGCAGGCCCTCAAACGTCGCAACCAAATACCTTTTCCTCCGTCATTTGATCGCGGATGAACAGTGTGACGCCAATATTGGCGGTGCACTGTTCATCTACGCCATTTTTTTGGCCTCTACCGAACTTGTGAAAGAAAGGCGCGAAAGAAGAGAGCGACGGTTAGGGTGTAGAATGCCGTTCGGTTGGAGATGAATCACGACACTTTTTGGTTTCACTGCATTTTGGAGTGAAAAAAATGAGATTTTCGGTTGGAGATACCCTAAGGTGATAAGTCACTCTCTTCACTATCATCGACTAAAGTAAGCCTTCTAGCCATGGTCAGATTAATCGATTTAGATAATTAGGAGTTCTAAGGGTTCACTTATCATTTCTTATTTATATTTTAGTTTATATATGTTTCAATTTAACATAAAAGTTTAATACCGATATTTTAAATGTATTATTTTTTTAATTGTTTTATTAAATTTGAATTAATCGTTATTTTAAGTCACCACATCTTTGAAATTATTCATAAATGTATTTGATTCGTTTTAATTTTGATGTTTCACGTGGCTTTTGTTTGGCTTGAACATGGCTCAAATTATTAAAAAATTCAAAAATTGAAACTATTTTTGTATAAAATTAAATAAATATCTACACGCCCAAAAAAAATTTTAAATAAAAAACAAATATTTGTTTGAGGAGAAAAGTAATTTGATAAAATATCTCATTTTAAAAAAACAAATTTTTTTTCTAGTACTATTATTTATTTCAGCTCAAAGGATTCTAAAAATAAATATATTGCAAAATTAAAATCGAATTTGTACAAAATCAGAATACTTTGATCTATATTTTTATTCTTTTATTCTACATATACTCATATATATGCCATTAAATAGCAACCAATTAGTTAAGACAAGTTATTTACTTGAACAAACAATAATGTAAATTGTTATGGAAAAATGTGATATATATATATCCTCTCTCTCTCTCTCTATGTTTTATAATTATCGCATTGTAGAATATTTGTGGCGGTAGATAGATCGATATAGAGTTTAGAGTCCAAGTTTTATACAAAGATCTAGAACAGATATAGATAAGAGATGGGTATAAACGTCATAAGAGATGCTAAAATTTTTATGTGAAAAACCCTGAAAATGAAACAAAAAGACGGGGTCTGGCTTAGTTAAAATGATTCTATTGATGTTTATATCGATTACAAATGATGTCCTTCCTCAAGAGGAAGGTTTTGGCTCAATGCAACAAATATACATCATATAAAGCACATTACATGATGGGAGTTGGAGTTGAATGATTTTGATGTCATCGTGTTCGTCTTGTAGAGACGTTCAATGTTAGATATGGTACTTTATGATTTGAAATAATTAATGAAACAAATATGCTAAAAAATGATCAAAATTCTAGATATAATTTTATCAAGCATTCCATAGACATATAAAATATATGATAAACTAAGCTCTAGAGTAGTTTCTTCTTCATAGACTCACACAAAAGTAGTAGATCTCTATATCATTCTAATTTTTTCTAATGTCTTTCAAAAGACAAAGTAGTAAATCTGAGATGTGCATCTAGTTGATTTGACCGAAACTTCATAAAATTAAGAAAATTCCCTAAGGCTTTGTTTAAGGCAGCTTAAGGCTTTGTTCAGGACAGTTTTTTTTAAATACAAAAATTTCACAATTAGGTTATGGGGATTCTTTGGTGTTTCTCTTTGTAATGCTTGCATTTTTGGTCTGATGGATGGTGATGACCATGTTGTTGCTGTCATCTTCACACGAGAAATTTATCTGTGTAATGATCGGACGCAGAACGTCGTATGGAGATCAATCAGAATGCGTAATATCAGCAATACCAAGTACATATGTGATGTAGTGCATTTTGATTGGCCTCTGAATAATTAATCCAACTTCACATGGCTCCAACATGTTCACGTGCAAAGCAATAAAGAAAAAAAAAGAGCGTGTATTTTATTATTAATTATTTCAAAAATTAATATTTAAATATGAAATAAAAAATAGTTATTCACATTACATTGTTAGCCTTAGGCCACCCTCCTGAAGTCTGAGAGGGAAGGGGGTAATAATGTCATTGCAATAGCTTAATGATTGACTCTCTTAGGCCAAGACAAGAATCCAAAAATAATCATGCTATAATTATTTAATGAAACGCATTATTGAGTTTCTCATTATGAATCACCAAGTAGAATGATTATAATTTTCTCTTTAGTAATTAATATTCTAGAAATTATTTTAGAAGATGACATAAGCAAAAATAAGATGTTTATATTATTAAAATCATCGCAATATTTTTTTTTTCTGCATGTGATGAAAAAGGTAGTATAAATTACTATTGAATTATCATAAGTTTTACAGAGAAAATAACAAGATATTATGAATGCTATATCTTTAATTTAAATATTTAAAATGAGGTTACAAGATATGTGAGATAATAACTCTGAGGATTTCAATAATAAAGTAATTTTATTTTGTAATCAAGAAAAAAATAGTTACTCTAAATCTGAATGATAAATGTGTTGCTCATGCATGCCCTCCACATAGAGTTCAAAAAATGATTAATTTATATCATTTTCGAGTTGAGATATTCTACATCCTTATTGATATGCAACTTCAAAAATTGAATAGTTATTTTATGCAGGCAAACATTGAAGTACATTTATGAGTTAATTGTTTGGATTCATATTATTCATTTTATGCATTCAACAAAGACAAGTTATTTAGAATAGCACATAAATATTCATTTGATTTCAGTCATTTAGATTTGATGATTATTGATAATTAGTTAGAAACTTATGTTATGGATATGTTCTCTGATGCATAATTTTTATTGTTAAAAAATAATGGAAACTTTGCTAATAAAATAATTCATAGCTGGAAGGATACTTTGAATCCCTTTGTTTTTAGACAATTAAAAATGACAAGTTAGAAGTAAGGGCAGAGTTTGAAATTTTTATTAGTGCGTGCACAAATTGATGATTTTCAAAATATCTCAATTATTTTTTGATTGTTTTTTAGTCTTTTTTATTGATAATTCATAGTGAACTAACATTTTGATATTAATAATTATTTCTAATTAATTATTAAATTATATATTTTTATTCTATTTTTTATATTTCACACAAATTTATGATTATCTTATTTCACTTTAAATATTTAAATATTAGTTTTATAAAAAAAAATGATATGGCTATTTACCTATGATAATAAATAATAAAAAGGTGTACATGTGTAAATAAAAGAAACCTATGTGAAAACAAAACAAGGTAAAAGAGAAAGAAACTATCAGATACAAAAACAACGAAATTGACGGGATCACTTGTCGGCCTGAACTCAGAAAAACTAACATAATCGAATATCGTTATTAAGATACTCCCTTGGTTGCCCGAAGACCTTCTAAAGGGAGAGATAAGCATGCTTCATCATCATCCATGCCCAAAAAATTGCGCCCGCCAAAATTTGTATATGCTGAATGTATCGATCGATAACAACAAAGTCACAAGGACATAGGGATGTCAATTTTTGACACGATCCGAACCTGATCCGGAAAAATCTGGGTTCGGGTCAACCCGAACCCGAAAAGGGTTGGGTTCGGGTCAACCCGAAAAGGGTTGGGTTCGGGTCAACCCGAACATGAAACGGGTCGGGTTGGGGTTGAACAAATCAACCCGTTTTAAAAATCGGGTCGGGTTCGGGTTGACTCAGTGACCCAAAATTG